CTGGCTCCTTGGAAGAATAATCAAAAGAAATGATTGGCGGCACATGGCTTTCAGATACTAGTGTCGGTGCTAAACAATGACAAATGTAAGAGATAGAGGATGTTGAAGGCTCAGGCAGACAGCAATGAGGTGACAAGATCAAAGAGTCAAAGCCGTAAAGCATAGGAAAGTGGCTTTAGACATTACTATGGTCCCACGTGGATTCAAACCCTCCACGGACAGTAAAGCCATGAATGCACTTCACAGACCTTTCTTTCCGAGCAGACATGAGCTGGAGCTGAGGAACATTAATAATGGCTTCAACCTACTATGTAATGCAATTCAATGCAGCATTAAAAATGTTATTGGTTCCACCTAACTGAGAGGTCATCGTGTCTGCTGTCAGCTAGGCCTGTTCAATGCATATGAAGTGAATCATTTATAAACAGCACAAAAGCATAAAGACACAGTTTTGGTACCGCCATCTGTGTTGCATTTAAATTGTCAAGCATGTCACAGTTTTAAGATTTTGACTGCTTTCACACAACAACGAATAAAACATCCCCACGAAAATGTGGCTCTCCCTCTTTAATGGAAGCCCGTAAGATGTGGTTAAATGCTTTAAAGACTAACCGAGCTTGACCTTGTTGAGACTGTTTTTCTTACCATGCTGAGCTTAAATTGCACATAATTAAATAACAAAAACACATTTGTCAGGCATTAAAAAAATACTCGGTAACAGTAATGACAGAAAACTCCAGGTGGAGTACAGAGGTGGCCCTCCTATCTTAAATTTTGGTAAACCTTTATTTAAAACGCCTCACTTATCTATGAGTAAAGACATTTTTTATCCTGGCTGGGAATTGTCTGCACAGCTGGCAGCGGTGTGCTGTCATCATAGCACCATTTTTTCCCTTGAATAGTGAAAACAAAGTAAAAATGACTAAATAAAATACAGCACATTACTACACATGATGATACAATAAACCACAAAGATACTGAAAAAGGCTGAAATAACAAAGCTCTGGGGGGACATGTGTTCCTTTTCTGAAGACTTATACATATTGTCAGCGCCATCACTGCTTTATGCGAGTGAATACGAGACAGTTTTGTGGTCATCTTGTAGCATTTTCCCAGGTTACCTGTTCCAAAATGGAGACAAATGCAAGCTGAGCGAGAGGAAAATATTCAGGCAATGACAGAACTATGCAGAGGAAAAATCCCCTTTTGAACGACTGTTGGTTACTATAAAACACGAGATAAACTCTAACATAATTGGGATTCCATGATTTCAGAGTGGATTACATAATATCGACGCGCTGTTTAATACTGTATCCACATTTTCTTCTGCCTTGATAATTTTTTAAGCATACTTGGTAAACGCCCGTGAAAACGCAGAATGAGAGTGATGACTTCACAAGCGAGACGGGTTCCAGTGAAAAGCACTGAGAAGACGGGAGATGGGGCTAGTAGAAAGAATATGAGTATAAATGTATGAGAGCTAACAGACTGCTGCAGTTTAAGACTGCTGGCGGCTCTGATTTTGAGGTGGGGTTGGAGTAGGGACGCTGAAATTTGTCTTAATGAGAGGGTGAGAAAGTGTGGGTGGAAAAGAGCTTCAGAAGTAACTGAAGTCACCACCTTCTGCTGCCCTGCCATGTCTTCTGTGCAAGCAAGCCAGGCAGCAGCTGATGGCCACTCATTCTGCTTTTGGCAAAAACAACAACAGCATCATGCAGCATGATTGCATGCAAGATGTGCTGTATATGTTGCATCACATTTTAGGCACACAAGCGCAGACACACCGCCCCCTGACAAACACATTCCAGGCAATGCATTAGTGGCAGCACCACGACAATTTTGTTGACATTGCTTTTAAAAGTTCTTTAATATACCTTTCTATGAAATGTATTAACTTTGAGGCTCCTGTCACATCCCATTACATTTCATAGAAATACTAAATATTATTACAGAAAGCTAGCATGAGTGCAACAAGGCCTTATTGTGCCCCACTGACCTTCTAGTTCTTCTAGTTCAAGAACTTTATGGAGAGTTCTCGTAAGTTTTTTTTTGATGGTTTGGTTTGGCTACTGCATGACATTTTTATAAATGTGGCGGACAAAGTCACAATTGCACACACAACAAGAGAATTTTGCTACACGTGCACATGCAACCCTGACCAAGATGAGGTCAGTGTCCCAGCAAAATCCCTCTCTGCTCATGAATCAATGCACAGCTTGTCAGCAGCGTCCCCTTCGTTTGCAAGAATTTGGCTGATATTTCAAGAGCTAAGAGTGTTCATGGAAATGCTCACAATAGGGGCACAGAGAAATGGATGCCTCAGCAAAAGCCTAACAAAGCCTCTAGGTAAATTCTTTCGGTATTAATTTTAAGACAGACGTGCTTTTATCTCTGCTAGCTAAAATGATCTTTTCATTCACAAAACGTTTGAGTGCCAGTTTTCAGTTTGCATGATACAGTGTAACAAAGCTCAGCATTCTGCCTTAATAGAAACAACATTTAGGCATGGAAAGCTTGTCTGCTTTTAATCGAAAATAAAGTTTTTACTATCTTATTTATTTATTTTTTCCAGACCTCATTAAAGTCTGACAATGCTTTTCACAATGAGCACTGGAAATAATATAATCAGTTGGTCCCTGCAGTTTTAGTGACATTTGGTGATATTTAGTGATATTTAAATGCTCTGCCCCACCCTGTATGTAAATATCCAGTCTTAAAAAAACACATCTATATATTCGAAACCATTTTAAACCATCAACGCAATCGCAAAATTCTCCTGTTATTTGAAACCACTGCTGTCCTAAGAATGCCTTTCACTCACACATTTTCTGGCCAGGACTTTACACAACATGACACTGACCAGAGCAGTGCAGACAAGGGAGGGACATTTCCCCTGTGTGTGTTCATATATATCATGCCTGTCAACGGGTGAACCACTTCCGATGATGTCCACAGCATCAGGCCATGTTGACTGATCTTTGTTCCTCTTTGTTGGCTCTTAGCATCAGGGATACAGACAGTGACCAAACCACCTAAACTTAGCCAAGATCCTACAGAACTACACCCTAAAACCACAAAATCAGGAGTGGGTCTCACTCCCACTTTCCCTCAATATGTTTGTGCCACTCAAGGTGACCCCGCTGACATTTTACAACAACTGGGAAAGCCTGCTTAACCACAGCAATCTGGAAGTGCATCTCAGCTTATGATAACATTTCCTACTTCCCAATTAGTCTTGGGCCAGTATCCTGGTATAGCCTTGTGGGAAGAATATGCTCTGATTAGCAGAGTTTGGAAGTGAACCAGCATGTCCCACCAAAGAAACTGGCAGTGCATTTCGCATACACCAATGCGCTGGACATCTAAAAGAAAAAAAGTTCTAGGTGGATCCTGATATGGCCAAAGAGCTTAGGTCCCAAAGTGATGATCCATGTGAATAGGTTTACAGGTTCTTGGCCTGCTGCATTAAACAAACACAGAAGCTAACCACTCCTGACAGTTGGTGGGGTTTTCATGCTGAACTGGATAAAGACATGAACAGAATATCCAGTGGAACTTCTCTTTCTTCCCCGTGTCTCACACGCATGTTCTGGCCAAAATGTAAGTTATTTTTCATTTTGAAGTGAGGATAATGTCATAATCACAAAGCAGGTGCTTAAATGGGTTGGAAAAGGGTAAAACATATAGTCAGTCCTGCCTGACACTCTTCATTGGCTTTACTATGAGGAGATAGCGTGGGAACTTTGGAAGAAATCACTCAAGTAATAAACAGCTCTTCTGACAGAAATTACAGAACAGATGTGTAGGTGTTGCAGACCAGCAACACGAATGAAGGAGAGAGAAGGTGAAAAGGAGAGAAGCTAGGAAGATAGCAGCATGGGAGAGAGTAAGAACACCAGAACAAAGTAGACAGAATACTATTCGCTGCCATGTTTTTACCTTCAATAACTAGATGTGAGTATACTTGGCTGGTGGCCCTAAAGCTGATCCTCTAGCTACCTAAGGTGCAAACATGAATTGCACGCATGTAGAAAATGTTCACCATTTACAACTGAACACATTTTGTCTCGTAGCCAGAAGTAGACGCTGGCCCTTCCAGGATATGTCAACTGAACAACTGAATAATTGACAAAGCCTGAAGTCTTGAAGGGCCAAACGTTGTGCTGTTTTCCATCCAAAATTTGTATCTGGAAAATATGAGGAAACGTCTGCACAATTCAAATACCATTTTTAATAATGTCCAGACTGAGAGCCATCTAAAACCAGAGCGCCGATATATTGATGAGGTCATTCAAATTTTTTTTCAAAAGTCACAAATGATTTCGTTTGACTTGCATGAGTTGTGATGTTGTAACTACATAAAGTCATCTTAACAACAGACTGTCGAACTTTTACCATAGTTTTGTCTCAATCTAATGGTGGTGCCAGATGCAAAGTTAGGAAAATAAGAAAGTGACTGCATTTAAACATGAATGTCCGTAACCCATTTAATGACAATCAGAAGTCACTGGGATTTATTGCCTGGATGCAGTGACTGTCTGTACAGAGTTGCATGGCTACCTGTGATATATGGGTGAACATAAAATCAGAAAGGAGCTGAACCAAGCTGATTTCTACGAGATATGAGCTAAAACAGAGAAAAAAAACAAACAGTCAATCACACTCACAATTATGTCCAATTTAGAATATTTTGTCAGTTAACTTAAAATTTATGCCCCAGTCACACCAGTACAACCACACCCTTCTTGCTGTGACATGACAGTGACGACCAATGGACCATTTAACCGCCCCATTCAGTCGTAACACAGATTTTGTATTTTAGATGAAAACGTTGGACCGGTAGACCAACAGATATGCAGTTAGCCGAACGAAAAAAACCCCAAAAACGATACATGTTAGAAAACCTACTCAAATTAATTAACACAATTTATAATACATGATGACTAGTGGGGATGATCAGCAAACATAACAAATACACATGAAAATGCTGAGGGTCTGACCTGGGAGGACATGGTTGGGTGTTGCAGGGCATCAATCCAGTAGCTGGTCTTGATCTGGGATTGCAGTACGACACATTCACCTGCACTTTCAAGTCTTTGTAGCATGCTGACTTGGTGTTCATTTGGCCTGCATAGGGTATAGATCAGTAAACATAGAAATGTTTAAAGAATACCGTTGTCATTTTGCATCAATCTGCTATTTAAATACTATAAAATCAACAAAACTGCATGATGGGAGATGGAACCACACGTTCAAAACTTCTACATATGTTATTCAAATAAATGTTTTTGTCTCACATGTGTGCAAAAAACTTAATTTGATTCAATTAACTTTACTAGTTTATCACCAGATTGTCCTTTCATCTTTAATAAACTTAAACTAATATTCATGTTTGACTGAAGTGGCTTTAGCATCAGTGACTTCTTGCACAATTGCACATTGTGTTGATTAATCTAAGTAAACCTTAAATCAGCTTTTCAGACTCCTTTGATTATTATTTCAACTTAGGCAGAGTCAGTCTGTACATCTGAGCTAATATAGGTCACTTAGTCAGTCACACTCTTTAATAAAGCAAAAGACTCTCAACTCATCACAACCTGCAATCAGTATTCATTGAGGTGGAGGTGGCTAGGGGGTACTGCAGCAGACCGGGGTGGACAACTTTAACCTCAAGGGTCAATCAATAGGAATTCTACACTAAGAGCTTTGTTCACAGTGATGACGCTAAGCAAGCGCACATGCACAAATATAGCCATGCCTACACAATGCACCCTTGTTCCACAACCTCTGGCCACAAATTACCTGCCCAGAGGACAAAGGCCACTGGTCGCAGGCAGGCATGTGTGTGCTTGCAATGTGTGTATGTGTTTGTAATAGCAAGTCTCCAGCTGAATAAGGAGAGGTCCCACCAGTTTGAACCAAGAGCCTCTAATGTCCCCTCAGTAATGATGGGAACACTCCCGTCTCCATTTAACCTGGAGCTAAAAGACTGATTAAAGGTCAGAGAGGCAAGAACTAAGCTTTAGGCTTAGTCTACTGATCTACAAATTGCCCTCCTCATTTACGGTTTTAGATCAAGATTAGAGGTGATGCGTGCTTTTTCATCAGTGCAACAGATTTTAAATTGCTTCTTAAAAAGTTGCATCTATGAAAAAACAAACATAAATCCCAAAAAATAAAAATGAAAAACAAAGACATTGCATTTTTTTAATGTTTGCTCGTACCTCCAGCACAAGTGGCTGAGCACTGGGAGCGTATGATAGCCCATGTATAATTGTGCTTGATGCGGTTCTTCATCAGTTTCTCATCAGCTTTCTTTAGAGTATATTCCCAATGCACACCAGGATTCCAGCCCTGCAACAGCACCTAAAGGAAAAAAGGTAATAAACAGGCAAGTAAGTCACAAAGAAAAAGGAGAAGGAAAGTAGGTCTTAATCATGTTACTGAGACCAATGACCTACTACCTCTATTACTAGAGTCTCATTGGTGGGACCGGCTGATATGAGACTCTCTGGTCTGTTATATGGTCTTTTGTACTCGAAAATTGCTCCAGCAATGGGGTGTCGGCCAGGCCAGTCCACGGTCCAGTGGCCATTAAGGTAGTAGCGTCTATGTGTGTCCCTGACAGCCAAGTAGGAGGTGGAGGAATTCAGTTCAATCACACGGATGCTCCGAGCTCCAGCTGGGATGGTTATCACTGCATAGTACTCTGAGAAACATTAGAAGACCTTAAATAAGCATTAAAAGTGGCATAAAACTCCAGCAAACAAAACAAAATGTTAATAATATGATATTAGGCTACACAGATTGCACCATACAAAGTTTGTGGGACATGAAAACAAATATTAGGTTTTAAAACATTTCCAATAAAATCGCTAAAAACCAATGAAGTGAATAATTCATTTGTGACGTACGGTTAGTAAAATGCTGTTTTGTGTACTGTCCTTTGTAAATCTTGCAGGTGGAGTTGTCTCCTTTACACACCCCGCAAGCATCGGGCACAGCTGTGGAGCCTAAAACACGGTCACAGCCAACTCTCTGTGGAAGAAAACCATCAGCGCTTTTGATGACAGTGTAGATCACACACATAAAAACACAAGACTGCGTCACAGTACGCATTCGATTACAACATTTACAAAATTCCAACATTTATTATGTACGTGGTGACAGGTCAATATTTTACTATTCATTATATCTAAAGTATCAGACAGCAGGAGAAATAAAAGAGTCTATTGATGTTCTTTACTGCTTACATCCATTGTCAAACTTCATGAAGCCACTTAAAAGACCTCACACGCCATATACATAAATGTAGCACTTTGACATCAATGTTTGGTCACATCATGTTACTTTCCAACTGCTTAACATTTAACATTACCTCACACAGTCCATCAATACAGACATTAGAGCTGTCTGGTGAGCAGAGTGTCCCATCCTTAACTTTGCTGGCCAAGGCAAAAAAGAAATCATAACCTTCAGCAAAGCAGTAGAGCTTGCATAGATCTTGATCTGGAAGAAAAAGAAAATGGGCATAAAAAAGGCCTCTTTTATCATTTCAAATAGTCTTTAGTTACGAGTATTTTTTGAAATTTAAGAGGAAAGCTTTCTCACCATCCACTCTAGTGTATGGTCTCCAAGTGTAGTACCAGCCTCTGAACTGTTTGCCGTTGAACTCAGCACACTGTTGTGCTCTATAGTCAATGGTGTTCCTGGGACAGTCTTCAGTATTGCAAAGTTTGTATGACCTGGAGGAACCCTCGCAGAACTTCCCCCCGTATGCCGGTCTAAAGAGATGGATTTAAACGTGTAGAATTCAAGGTTTTTCTGCACGAAACACATAATAACATGCTTCCAGTATTTTATGGATCTTCTTTGTTCATCTTCTATCTGTGACTGTATGTTCGCGTTGAAATCCCAAACATGGGTGATAGTAGAGTGCAAAGTATTGAAATAATGATCATGGTAATAAAACATTTAAGATAGTTTTTATCTGTAGAGTCAGTGAAATTCTGATTGTGTTGATCCATGGGCATGTTTCACTCCATATGTGTGTATAAGTGTGCCTTTGTGAAGGCTTGTGAAATCACAGGTGTATATCCTCGGGTTATGTTCCTAAAAATCCCTACGATGGGACAAAAACAGCTGCAAACTCTCCAACCACTCTCTCTGTGTTGTGTTCTTTCGTTTGATATCTCTGCATTTCATCTTTCACCTTTTTAATCCCTTTTCTGTCATCCCCCCCCCTCCTCCTCCCACTTCATTCCACTTGCCTGTCTTTGTCCTTCTAACCCTTCACCACCAGCTTTCCTTTCCTTGTCTTTCTTTCTCCTCCTCACTCTCTGTCTAATTTAGCCCACCACTTGTCAGGATCTTGGCATGACATGATAAAAAGGAAGTCCCAGCATTTGGAATAGGGGCCCCTGACTGACTGACAGTGGCAATAATCATGAGTGACTGATGAGTTGGGGGCTAAATTAGCAGATAAGTGACAGACTTGTGTGACTTAATCACAATTCTTAATATACTGTTGGCCCTTAGTCAAACAATCAGAGGTACCACACGCCATCCAAGTCTTCTGCATGTTATAGTAAGACATTATACAACTAGAAAACTATACTTTGACAGATGATGACTTTTAGTAGACTTTTAGCACCATTTAGTAGAACTGTTCGTAGTGTATTCAGTAGTATTTCAAAGTAACACTTGCTGTATAGTGTGAACAGTGAGGACATGTGTTAGTGTGGTATTATCTGGCAGCAGTATGATAGTTAGCATATAGCTTAGCATAAAGACCGGATACGAGGATTAACAGCTAACAAGGTTTGTCCTGAGTCGGTCTAGAAACACATCTAAAGCTCAATAATCATTCAGTATATCATTATTATATCTTAATTGTTTAATTAGAACACAAACACTTATTTGTGATACCTAAAACAATATCAATGATAAGACTCCCATTCCAGGAGGCTCCTAAGTTAATTTAAAATCCAAAAATTATTTTAGTCTGGGTTAAAAATCATTAAAAGTTTTTAAAAGGATACTAAGGACAAGTGAGGACTTTTAAATATAGAAAAAACTAGGTGCCGCTTCAGTTTTTGTGTTAACTGTCAGCTAGCAATACAGACAGAAGAGGTTTTGAGTAAAGTTTGTAGTCACTTGTACATTTATGTTTTTCTAATGCTATGTAAGATTCAATGTAAATATAATGTTAGAGGCCATTGCTTTGTCTTCCCCTACCTGGGGTTGCTGCATTGCCTCTCATGATATGTAACGCCGCTCTCACAGCTTCTAGAGCATGTAGACCAGGAGGACCACTCTGACCAGTGGCCATGCTGAGGCCTTGGACCCTCATCACCCTGTTTCACACACTGGCCCCGACGACACCACTGAAGGGAACAAAAGAGCATTGATATACGGGAAAGAGAAAGATGCAGCAGAATGGGGGTTCAAATAGAAACTGTCAAAACTAGACCCGTTTTTATCTTAATCACGAGTGAACTCACACACAATCAGACTGCAGCATCGTCCATCTTTACCGTTTCTCATATGTAGCATGTGGCATGCATTTCTCATTATGGGGAATGCTCTGTTCTAGGTAGAGTGTGCTGGGATCATTAATAGGATCACTGAACATGCTGGCTGTAAACTCACTGGCAAGTGCTATTCTAACATCCGTGCAAGTCTGTGGGACTGGACTTAACAGAGATTTTGCAGAGAAGAGCAGTGAGGTTAAAATCGGTTTAATACTTGATTTGATTGCACTGCAAATGTGCCTTCTTATGTTCACCTCCTGCCACGTCAAGATACGACTTACTGTGCTTACTGTACTGTTTTGTTTTGTTTTGTTTTGTTTTTAAACTGTGGCCCAGTCCTGGTTACATGTTCACAGTCTACCAGTAAAACCTTTTCAAGGTCATCTCATGCTCTTTCAATTTTCAAAGACCAATTTCTCTTTCATTCTGATCTCTGGTGGACTGAAAAGCCATGTGCATATAGTGTTACTAGCTGCTTCTGACCAAGCAGCTTTCGAGCAGTGAACACTGCCAAATGTGTCCCTTAAGGCAGCAGGCAAAACCGAAGATTACACGATAGTGGATAAAAAAAATAAAAAAAATCTTTAAATATGTTTCTGCACTTCTTTGGACTGCATGCAATGATGGTGATCGTACAGGGAAAACTCAAAGCCACAATCGAGTACATACATCAAAGGCCGAATCATTAATCAGCTTCAGTGTACTTCTTCTCCCAGAATTCCACACACACTGCTATTGCATAAGCTGTGCTATGTCCATACATCGAACATATGCAGCTGTTCTTGTTCTCACTATGCGAACAATAACTACACAAGAGACCACAGACCCACACGCCAGCATATGCAGACTCATGCACACCTCACCAACTAATCTCATGGTCCTTGACTAAGAACTAGAACAGCTGATTTCCCCTCAGTTTTCCCCCTGCGGCTGAGTGCCGCAGATTCCTATGTGAGGCAGTCAGTGTTTGTGCTCGGTTAATTTTCCCGTGGAGGGGGAGCGCGAGATTAAACCATCAAGTTTAATATATTGAGATGCAAACGTTGATGAGAGGCTGTCAGGGGAGTGAGGGTAAGAGAAAGAGCAAGCCTCGGGGGGGGAATCATCTTGAAAAGAAGAATGAAAAAGAAAACAAAGAATAAATAAAGAGCGCAGATTGCTTTTTGGATCCAAGCCAATTGCATATTTCTGCCACATCAGCAACAAACGAACTGCAGCTGCTCCCTGAGGTAAAAGAAGGAAGGACAGAGTGGTACCTAGAGCAAAAGACAAAAAAAGGAGTTTTCATTTACACTACCCTCAAATGTAGTAAATCAAAGTAAAGTTGCTGATTCGGCTTGAAAATAACTTAAATAGTCTGTGCTGGGATATGAGGCCATTGCTATGAAAGAAAAAAGCAGTTAAAAGAAGTGTAGTATCATTCAGTTCAAGCCATTTGCTTTCAAATAGCTGGACTTAACACTACATAACACTAAAACACTCAATAAATGTTACTTTTATAAGGCTATGTACATCATTGTTGCCTTTTCAGTGTATTCATAGCTATGGCTTATTGTCCTTTGCAGCTTACTGACTTAAAGGTCTGTGGTATCCCTAAGTCAAAGAATGTGTTTCCCATTTTTACAAGCTTTCCCCCGCTTATACTTTTACACGCTTGGTAATGTAAAGAAGCACACTGCCAAAACACTGCTAGGGCAACTGATATGCAGGAAGGAGAATTTGCCCTGAGAGTGAAGCCATTTTTCAATAGACGTGTTTAAATCCACTTTTCTTAAGTTAGCACACATAACAGAGTAAAACTCTCTTACTGAGTTGTGTTACTCTGTTGGACGGTATTTTTCTCACCAAAATTGAGAGGAAATGTGTGTGGGGCTCTTGTTTAGGCTGTCCTAAAGAATAAAGGCAATGTTTGCTAAATGCCATATCAATTGGAGGAACATTTTGGCTCCTTTGGCTATCAAGGAACAAAGGTTATCTTATTGGTGATATGACTAAAAGCTAACTCTATGCCCTGAATAGATTGTGGACTTTTTTTTCCCAGTGTACAAATGACATTTTGAAGAAGGTATCTTCATTTTCCTGCTAGCGGTTGGAACTGTCTTCTGCTTCAATTGCCTCTAAGGAAATGGATAAAAGATTCCAATAGAAGTCAGCGGCTCCCATCCCACTCATGTGATGCCACTCTTGAGGTAAAAAAGCCTGTGAGTGTCAACCCCTTTAACCAAACACATCGCCATACCCACACATGCGCACACACACACTACATCATGTGTTAAGTCACCATATCGGGGCCGCAAGCAGAGCCCTCAGCAGCTGGCATGAATTTGGTCTCACACTTCCTCCCAACACGGTGGCACCACAGAGCCTTGCAGATATCCTGGAACAACATAAGAGAGAGAGAAACAAAGTGTAACTCACATGGAAACCTTAACTTACCTCTTGCTCCAGATTCCAGAAACTGGATCATTATGATCCTCCTCACAATAGCTGTAAACAAAGCTTGCAGTGGGGAAAAATGATCACTTGTAATAGCATTTTGATTTTGCCTCTTGAGAGCTAATAAAACATGTTGAAGGAATCTTGCTGAATCTGCAACTGTCTAAATAATTATTTTCTGGAGAGCTTCCCGTGTGCAGCAAATGTGAATCTCCAAAATATTTATGCTTCAGTAGCTAGGGTGAAGACATCAGCATCGATACATAAAATCTGGTCTAAGTGGTTCCAACATCATCTCCGTTGCGGATCGACATAGCAATCTTCAGCTTTGAGGAAGTGAAACACCAAAGTGAAGAAGTAACACAGAACATGAAGATTAGGACAAAGTATTAACAGGGCACAACTGCTTTACCAAACTTACATGATGTAATGGCTGTGTTACTCAGTCATTAAAGATTCAGCTGGGAGCACCGGCCCGTTTCCCTGCTCGCATCGCCTGAGAAACACAGCCTGCTGCTTTTTAACATGTCTACTCTGTTGCTATTTGAATGACTATATCAGATTTTGACAACTCAGTGCAGATGCTGACAGACACCTCAGCCTCAGCTTGCTGCTGCCAAAAGCCACCATGGAATTCATCCCAAGGACTATTTGTCCATCTGTTTCGCTTGCTCGGGCCGTTTGTAGCAGTAAAATAATGGCAGCGAGCGGTTAGCGATGGGAGGAGAGACAGAGAGAAATGATGGACAGTGTGTCAGAGGCTGAGAAAGAACGAAAAACGCCCATTAACATTATTCAATTTTTCCTATAGAGTAGCCCATCCCTATCTAACCGCAGAGAGTATCATTTGTTCCCTCCAGTGGTACCTTATCTTGACAACAGCTGCCAAAAAGTTTAGTGAAAAAAGAATTCATTACACCATGAACTGCGCCGCTGAGGCCGATTCTTGTGGGCTGTTTTTTTTTTATGAGTAACAAGTGCTCAGAAAGACAGTGAGTGTAATGGCTGCTTGGAGATTTATCAGTCCAGAGCACCTTGCTGCTACCAGGTGCACAAGCGTATGTTATAAATGTAATAATCCACGGATATTCAGACGTTTATATAAGCACACAAAGAAGAACAGCATGTGCATAAGAGCTAGGATTCAAAGCCAGCTACTACTGGCACTGGCATTTCTTAGAGCATAAATTAAAAAAGTCACTTGCTTAAAGTCCCATCCTGCAGACATAACATATTTGATACATACTGCAGTAACTTTATTACAAAGCATTAAATATCCATCTTGCTTTATCGTTGATCATTTTTGGTAATGATATCTTCCAGATGAAGAAAATTTGCTACACAGAAAATGTTAAAGGAACAAGACAGGTTAAAATAAAATGTTAAAATAAATGAATACAAAGCACAAAAAATGCAGTACATACATTATCAGATTTTTATACTGGTCCACTTGACTGCAAAAAATAGAAACCTTTATCCTGTGTGTGACTAAATGCTATGGTGCTGCTGACCGGAGGCAAATATGTTCGCCATTGTAGTATACAAAAAAGGTCACAATAATCTGTTAGAGGGTCTGTGACAAAAATGAACTATTGAGCTTTGTATTTCATTTAAACACTGAGAACACCCTTGCCTGAATGGTTCAAACAATACAGGTGCAGCTTTGGCTCAACTGAGGTTCTTGTGGGATACTATATTTTAAGACTGATTACATTTAACAAGTATTTAAAGCCCTATTCGGATTATCTGGGAGAGTATTTCTAACAGTAAGATCAGCAGCAATGAGACAATGGGAGAGCAACGAGCAGAGATTCCCACTGGCAATGCTCCAGTGTATATTTAGTCATCTATCCCAGTAAGTACAGTATATCATGGGCAGTCTTCGAGTCTCAGTCTTTGTGTGTGGATGCAGATGTGTGTACATGCACAAGGGCATGTAACCCGGATCAGTTTCTCTTTTCCTTCCTCTTTTTATTTGATTTTTCCTCTACCTCATTCATCCCATCCCACTCTTACATTCTTTGACTTTTTCCCCTAACTAGCAACACATGATTGTTAAAAAAAAACGTATCAAATGCTCACGTTCCAGTAGATGTGGTGATAAAATCCCTGACTGGGATTATAAACCTGTTTTTAAATTAGCATTAGATGGCATAAGAGAGTCCAAATCAATTTTATTACCTTCTTAAAATCAAGGGTGCAGAGTTTGGCCTTCTCCCCAAACTGCCATTTGCATTGTGTGTCTGCATCGTACAGCTCGCCAGGCAGCTTCTCAGGGTATTGATACTCTGTGATTGCTCTTGGTTCATCTGATAGGCACAAAGCCTGGGCAGAACTGGGGAATTTGATAGGGAGATAGCAAAGGAAAAGCACAAAAAAAGAGTTAAGTAGCTGGCATATGAGACTGCCTGCTGTGCACATAGAAATTCCAAAAGCGAGCATCACTCCACGTGTTCCATTGTTCCCAGCATAGTGACAACTGTAAAGTGTAGCTATGGTAACATAACAAGTTGGCAAACTCAAAACCTGTGGGTAATGTTTTAATGCATCAGACACTCAATTATGGCAGACATAAAAAGTCCTTGCCCATATCGCTCATATCCTAACACCAGCAGGGGGTTTCCAATGTTAACTGATATCACTGGTTACTATACAGCGATGTTTTACAGCTTAAACGCTGCAGTCGGGGAATATAATAAAAGAATATGGTGGAAAGAGCATGAAAAGGCAAAATATGCTGGAATGGTTCATTGTGTTAGTGAGTGGTCCTGATTGCTTTAGCAGAGTGTATGAGTGTCTGTGTGTGTATATGTGAGATCTTCCATTGCTTTATGGGTCCTGTGTGTCTAAAGAGAACAATGTCTGTTCTACAAGTGCAATATTCTGGTATTCCATATTAACAATATGGTTTCTGAAAAATACATTACATTTACAGTACTGTGTAATCACACACATCAGCAAGGACTCAAGTAAAGATCGGGAGGACTTAATGTAATTCACAAGTAAAATTACAAAATGATTTGCAGGATCTCTTGAGGGCAAGAGGCTTAACCCTAAAAAATGTACACAAGATTCTCATCAGCTAAAGATAAAAAAAGCATCCTTTCTTTTCTATGATTCCCTCAGGATCTACAGGCTCACCCCATCCAGACCGAGGGCTATTTATATCTATCTATTTGTTTGTTGGCACATAAAACACAGACAGCAAACTGCTGAAAAAAAAATCATAAAAGGTTTAGATAACTTCACTGCTGTGAAGAAGACTGGTCACAAGCAGACTCATAGCTGAAGAACATCTTATCTGCAAGACTTTTTGATTAGCATTGCTGAAATCAGAGTGTCAACCAAACATATCAAACAAACCAGAGTCCAACAAACATACTGTAAACACGTTTTATGTTTACATAAACTTAGCTTAATTTTAAATTAAGTCCGTAAGTAACAAAGTCTGTCTAACTGCATTTCTAAAACGGAAACATTTTGCATGCTGTTTGTCATTTGATTATTATGACTGACAAGATATAATGTAGTATATCTGTTTTACAGATGGAAATGATTGGTTTTATTACTTTAGCATAGCCAGCCAAGCAGTTTCCCTGTCCTAGTTTTTAGGCTGAGATATGCTATGCTAAATTAAGATAAGATAACTAGAAATTGTCACAATCTGCAAACCTTGTAGAGACTTTTTCTGCAACTCTGATCAAGCTTCTTCTTCATTCAGCTGCTCCCATTAGGGGTTGCTGCAGTGGCTTGCATCTCACCCTATCTTTAGTATCCTCCTCTGTCCTCTGTCTCCTCTGCATGTCCTCTCTTTGTCCAGAAATCGTTCCTGTGCTCTTCCTCTTTCCCTCCTGCATGGCAACTCCATATTCAGCTCCCCCTGTTTAATGTACCAAGTTTCTCTTCTTTGCACATGTCCAAACCATTTCAGCCTTACACTCTAAAACTTTCTTTCCAAACTGCAAATCCTAAGCAGTCCATCTAATGTACTCATTTCTAATCTGGTCCATCCTCGTCACTCCTAGTGAAAATATTAGCATGTTCAACTCTGCCACTTCCGGTTGGCTTCTCGTCTTTTTTTTGTGCTACTGTCGCCAAACCAGACATCATAGCAGGTCTCACTACCATCTTATAAACTTGACCTTTCACTTTTTCTATTATCCTTCTGTTGAAAATCACCCCTGATACTCCAGCCACTACACCCTGCCTGCACTCTCTTCTTCACCTCTCTTGTGCACTGTCCGATGCTTTAGATGGCTGACTCGTCCACCTTCACTACATGTCATGCATCACCCTCACATACTTCACGGCTACTCCCGACATCCTCGTATAATACCACAACTCCTCTCTTGGCATTGTATCATATGGTTTCTCTAGATCTACAAAGACAGTGCAACTCAACTTTTCCATCAACACTCTCAAAGCAAACATCACATCTGTAGTGCACTTCTCTGCCATGCTGCTGCTCACTAATCATCACCTCTCTTCTCAGCCTAGCTTCAACAACTCTTTCCTAGAGCTTCATGGTATGCCTTATCAGCTTTATCCCACTGGACCTACTACAGCTTTGCACATCACCCTTGTTCCTGCAAACTGGCACAGTACACTTCTTCTCGATTCCTTACACATCCTCTCACTCCCCAGGCTTGTGCTAAACAATGTGGTTAAAAACTCTACAGCCCTTTCTCCTAAACATCTTTATACCTCAACAGGTATGCCATTTGGACTACCTCTCCTTGCGCTCTTCATCCTCTTCATAGCTTCCCTCACTTAGTCCCTACTGCACTTCACTACCTGTGCCCCATCCATCCATTCCTGCTCTCTCATTTTCTTCACTCACCAGCTCCTCAAAGTACTCTTTAGACCTGCTACACATCCTTTCCAGCTTGATCTCTTTGCCTAATCAGTTGCTGCAAATGCTTCACTCCTTCCTTAAACTCTCAGCAAGGAGCTAAATAAGCACATTTCTCTGAAAAGTCTTGAAGCTTTCTGGTTGGTTTCACCAGCTTCAACAACAAAAACAACTTCAAGTGGCTTTTAAGGAATTTGCTTTCACTGACGTGAAGATTATCCATCCATGTTAGACATGGAGGGATAAAGCATCTGACCATGCGTACAGTCCGGCCTGTCTGTCATGGCTGACTGAAGAGAGGTAGATCTAGAGTGAGTGTAATATAAACTCTGCTGGCTGACATAACGCTTCTCTCCATAGCAGATGAAGGAGACACTGTGGAGTCTCATGATTGCAGCTAGGAAAACATACAACATTTCAGCAATAATATCATTCAGTAATAATGCAAGATGACGACTCCTTGATGGTCTAATGTTTCAGCGCTCTCCTCCATGTGACCTCAAGAGGTGATGGGAGTTTAATATAAAACTGACAGCTCTAACGAGGTTGAGGTCATCCCAGCTCTAATAACTCAGCGAGGAAATACACTGTCTGTCTCCGCCACTCTGAGAGGGGAGACCTGACAGTTCAGCTAACACACGGGTAAATTTAGTGGTGGGCACTGACTCTGAGCTATCTAGTTTCAAGTATACACGCACACAGACACACACACCTACACCCACAGACAAATAGAAACATGTCCAGACACATGGGCGCGTTGTCTGTGATGGCTGTTTTCCCGCTTGGGAGAGCAGGCTATAAGCAGAACAGTGCACAAACCAACTGCCATGCAAACGTACGGCTTTTACTAGCATGCATCTTGATGCACAATAAAAGTGCATTTTGTAAAAGAGCACTAAGAGAAACGTAGGACCATATTTCACTTAAATTAGCTGCTATGGTAACTACATTCTTTACTTAATTGCATGTAGCCTCTTGTTCATTCAAAGCTTTAAAATTGCTTTTGAAATATAAAATCTTTTACAGGTTTTATATAGGTAAAAGTGCAATTTTTCACTTGACACATTAAAAATAAAAAACACAATGAATGCATGAATTAATTAAGTGGCCAGTTTGAAAAATGTAGTTGTTGTGTTTGTTGTGTGAACTCTAACAAAAAGGCAGACATGAAAATTCTTAAAGACACTAGTTTAATTTATTTTAGTCAACACAATGAAAGTAAAAAAAATCCCAACTGCTTACTTGAGGAAGCGGCTGAGGTACTGACGGCTGCAAGCAGACCAGGAGAAGACACCGTTGTGACCAGCTAATGTGGGAGACATGATGTTGCCTTCTGACTTTTTACAAACATTCCCTTCACCATCATGGACCATTCCAAAACTGGAGAGTTAAAAAAAAAAAGAGATTTTTATCTACAAATTCAGGTGACATAATCATCTACTTCACATATGACAAATGCAGAAGTTGTCATTCTAATAGATTATTTATTTTTACATGAATTAAAACAAATTTTGGTACATTTTTCATTTCCTTGTCGAACAAGGTTGAACGAGGCTGAATGTACTTTGGAAACCCTTACTTGTGTCCTGATTCATGGGCGATGGTGAATGCCAAACCCAGGCCAGTGTCCTCATTAATGGTACAGCTACGGTATTTGCTACACATCCCGCTAATTGGCGCAAACCCTGCAAAAGCAGTGATAGATTTTTGTTTTCGCAATCTTTAATACAAGTTTTATTATTTATTAGTTTAAAAAAGCCATTCCAAAAATTACTGTAATTGGTTAGTTAAAATAACTGCTGTCAAGTTGCTTCTTCTCAGCTTTTTAACTCTACACTGGAAGAGAAATTTCTCAAACGATACGCACTGGTGTGAATTTGTGGAGGGCACATGTCAGAAATATCAAACAACATCAGTGAATTCAAATCCTTCTATATGTTAACATATGGTGCTCTATATAGTCACATATGCTACCTTTTACTTCACTTTAAAACATTCTTTCCCTATCTTCACATCTTTCTCATATCTCTCATTCTCAGTTAAACTCTTTTATAGTATTCAGCTCCCTTTATGCCTCTCTCTGTCCTCTCTCCTCCTGTCTCTCACATTTACAGCAACCTCTGGCTCTGAATCAAAAAGGCTAATCCACACGAGAGCCTCCCTTAACGTTTTTTCCTTAGAGTTTCATGGCGAATTTGGCCTTAAATTTTGTTTGATTTACATCTCTAAGTCTTTGCCACAGAGTGGCTCATGTATATAACTAATGTGAGCAATGATATTAAATATAACAAGGGAGATTAACTGTGAGAACTACCATTTATTTCTTTTTTGTGTTAGGAAAGAGCTAGGTCATTGATATTATATGACAGTTTTGAAATATGAATAAAAACATTGAAGAATAGGGCTCTAATAGTAATCCAAATAAACAGTGAATGGTTGTGCTAATGCCTATTTTACATCGTACTTCTGGGAATTAGAAAGCACTGATTCTTATTTTGACTGGACAGACACACACACACACCTTTTATCTAAGCTCGCACAGCTGTATGGATGAGGCTAGTGCCGGTTTCGACACTTTATTGTAAAATCTTAGGTCTGGGGAAGTTACACTCTTGTGTTTTTCTGGTGCAAAAAAGGGGAGTTTTTTTCTCACAGTGTGGAAGATAAGAATGTGTTTACACGGTCATTACCCCAAATAAGCTTCTGTTATTGTGCTAGGTGATGCACACTCACAGAGACACAGTGTGTCTGAATGCTCAAGCCAGCTGAGCTTAGTCTATGTAGAAAAACACTAAGCACTCTAAACTAAATGAAAACCTGGTAATGTGTCCACTTTCTGAATTTCTATCTGGTTTTTCTGTTATCTCTGTTAAATATGGTTGGCTAAAAAACAAAAGTAAAAAAAAAAAAATTCAGATACTAATTATCACTAAATACTTAATTACTATTGCATCAGATGAACTGCGACATGATATAGCACTGATATCAACAGTGTTATCTTTGTCTCACCTAGCTAACACACAACTTCACACAACATGCTGAAGGCATGTTGCTGCTTTACTAGCAGCTGAATATGGCGTTATTTTTGTGCCACTATTCTGAGCGCACGTAAAAAAAGTTTGCAGGTGCAAGTGCTGCATTTTGAGGAGAAATTTATTTTGAGTGAAGAAAAGCTAAATTTGAGTGAACAAAATTCGTTGCTGCGTGCAAAAAATGTACTTCAGTGTTTGCTATTATCCACACACACACACACAATAGCAGCACCTCTCGCTCAGTTTTTGCATTTGCGCTTGCACACAATGTGTTGCTCGCGCTCTCAACATTTCTACCCGTGCGCGATCAACTCTTTCTGTACACCATTATATTTGTGCCACAAAACCAGCCAATCACAGACTTGGATGCAAAAAAATCTGATTGGCTGTTTTGGTCTCCAATCAGCTCGAAATGACGAAATGCAATATCCCAGAATCCATTTCGTCCAAAACTCAAACGAGGCAGTGGCGGAGGAACGGGACTAAAAACTTTGAAATATTACTCTTTCTGGGTCACAAAATAAACTTTTAAGATATTTTCATGCGAGAATGGTGCTGTGTAAACTTCGAATACCTGCTCGATTTATCAAGACATCACATATTTGCATGAATTTTGTTCACTCAAATTTAACTTTTCTTCGCTCAAAATAAATTTCTCCTCAAAATGCAACACTTGCACCTGTTTTTTTTTTTACGTGCGCTCAGAATAGTGGCACAAAAAATAACGCCATAGCTGAAGATGTCCATCACAGCGGTGAACAACACTTTATGAACAATTTTGAGAGGTGAGTAAAGCTCCCTTTTCAACAATAATTAAGCTCTAAACAGGTAGCACAAATGTCAGCCTGGCCAGCACACACATTTAACTTATAGCCGCATTAGCTGTCTCTTAATGATCATTAAGCTAGCAGCTAGCAGCTATGGCTATTATTGGAGCTAGGTGGCAAAATCACTTGTGCCTGTATAACAGTGTTTATTTATTAATTTAAGAGGATTTCGCAATTATTTGTTTCTTGTAAAGTCCCTAATTAAAGCTGTGAAAAGTCTAAAACTAGACAGAAACAATGGCCGCGTACCTTACCAACAATATTTGATCAGTAATGAAAACATGGTACCAAGTCACCAGAAATACAAAGTACCCCAAACAGCCTAAAATTGTTGTTATTGTTTTTTTTTAAAATAAAAAAAGAGTTAATTAAGATTCTGTACAAGCCTGAAAATATTTGTAAGATATAATTGTATATACCTCAACCTATAACTCAAAAATACTGTTGTTACTGATGTTATTTTTTTATGTATTGTTCTAATCTTTATGTAAAAAAAATAACTTCTCTTAATATTTTGTCACTCCCCCTGGTATTAAAAATGGCATTGGCATCATATTCAAATTTTGTATTGTGGTAATCCTAATGTTAAGTCTATATATGTTTTTCTTCCTCCACAACATCAAAAATGATTGCCATACATATTTCCAGGGGTTAAAGTGGTTGAATGATTGGATACTGATAACTGGTAATACATTTATAATAAATCTGGATTCAACATAAAGTTAAAAACTAAACATAAAAATAAAGAAGATGATAGATTTTGCTTTCCAGGTTAAGGTACGCTGAGCAAATATGATGGATCGGTGTATTGACAGGATTGTTTATTGCCTCAAATGAGGCCTTCTGGCATTTGGTTGTTGCAGAATCTGCTCTTTTGTGATTTACAAGCAATAGAGCAACAAAGAGGTTTTTAAAGTCATACCAAGAGTATCACAGGGTTCATTCTTCCAAGAGCAGATGTCGAGTCCCGTGAGGAGGATGGCGTGGTCATGGTGCCGGCCCTCTCTACCTCCCAGGGTGGACTGCCAGTGGCAAAAGCTGTTCAGTGTGTGGTCTGCATGGTGGTTGATTACTAAGCCATTCTGTGACATAAAACACATAAAAAGATATGATGACAGTATTAACTTCGTTGAGGTAAAGCATTATTATCCATATATTTACTGCCAACTTACAGATTCTCTCTGGGTCTTTATAATCAATAACCAAGATCCCTTAGACATATAGCATGCATATTGATAACAACATAAAGGCTTACAGATTTTCTTTTGTGTACAAAGGAAAACGTCTGTGAACATTTTTGTATTTTCACCATTCCTCCTGCTTATAAATACTTAATTTTACAATCTATGAAGTGGCTGGAAAGTCTAAGCCATTGTTCTCAAGCTGCTTTACTTTTCCCAACTGTACCCCAACAGTTTGTCTCTCTCTGTCTGTGTCGCTCATTTACTCCTAGACTCCATGAGAATTTCCCCTGTGGCAAAGATCCAGGGAAATACATGCTCTATTTAAACTGTAAAAGCCCCTAGTTGTTACAACAGCCCCAGGAAGATTTTGGAAGGACCAAAAAGATCTGGAACCTCAGGCAAAACAAACAAATAAACATACAAATGATCCTTTTTTGCATTTTTTTGCCCCTTGGTATGTACAGCTAAAGAACATGGACATATTGTTAGCGTATAGGGTTGAGTTGTCTGGGTGAATGATGATTCTGACTAAAAACTGCCACGTTCACCTGTTCTTCATCCAGGAGGACGAGACCCACAATCACTATGTTGATATTTCCCCCTATTGTGCCGTCTTTGAACAGACTTGAGACCTAAAAGGCAAACAGACAATCATTATGAAGTATTACTAGCGCATCTGGCATTTGTCTAATCCATCTCAAGTAATGTTTCAAACTCATGTAATTTGAGACATAAACTACATGTGCATGAGTAATTTTACAAAGCTTAAAGTGGCTTGAACGTGACCATCAAAGTGACATTTGAAGTACTCGCCTGTTTATACAAATGCAGGATCTGTCACTAAAAACTGTTACTGGTACTCGAAGAGGATCTGATTAGTACAATCTAGGCTGATGTGTTAAAATGTCCTTAACTTATATTTATGCACCACTCCCATAATATGACTATGAGGGTTCGCTGTATGCCTTTCTCTAAGACCTCGCAAATACATCTTTAGGAAAACTCATTCATTTCCCTCTTTTCGTCCTACTTTGCGCTGACGCACAGGAAGACACATGGCCGTGGTTTGTTGCAGAAAGGTCAGGGAGGTCATCAAAGAGCTCACTTAAACTAAGCTATGCTAAAAGCTGAGTGTTTGACAGGCTGTCAGATGTCTGAATTGATTAGAGCAATGAATCTCTATATGTTTTTACATATAGGAATAAAGTATCACACCTGTTTCCACAAATCTGTAGTGTTTTGTGATGCATAGTGCACTGCACGTTTTTTTTTTAAAATAAGTAACTATGATTTTTTTTGTCTTTCCACTGTCACTGTGAAAGCATAATTCTATACAAAGCTAAAGAGCTTATTAGATTTCCTTTCCAACAAATATTAAATGACTTTTGTAAGCCCCATGAGGGCTGGCAGGTGGTGTGAAGCGTTGGGTGTTTTCTGTGAAACCCCATATAGTATTTAGGTGACTCCTATGAGGCCGGTGACTGCTCTGACTTTGTTTTTACTACAGGGAACTATGTTTTCAAAATAGATGGATTATCTTTGGATTTGTCAGTCAGTCATTAAGTAGCAAAACAAGTGTGACGGTATTCGCTTACAGATAAGCTGAGAGGAATGGAGGGGGACACTGCAAGCGTTGTGGAGATGATCTCACCCAGATATCAGTTTCCTGTTTTAAGATCTCTGATAAGTTAGTCTAGCAGACAGGAGTGTCAAGTAACTAAATCCTTACTTCAAATAAATTGCATGGCTTCCTCTTTCATCAGCTGATGTTATGGTGTATGATAGCAAAAAAAAGCACAGTGTCCTAAAACTTCATTTGATGATGTGACTGCAAAGTTACACCAGGCTTTGTGGTTCTGCTGTTAAAGCCACTTGTAAAAATACAAGACAACTTTCCCATAAAGTTACAAGACATCATATTTGGTATTCTTAAAAAAAAAACGAGTCAGCCTTAAGGTTGATTTATGTAACTCCTGTCTTGAATCTGTGCTGCGCCCATGCTAGCCTATAGGCAGTGTGCACATCAAACACAGTGGTAAAGACTAAATTTGTCTCACCATGTTAAGCACAGTAAGAACATATGTAGTTATGTTCTCATGGCCATGGTTGTCCATCATCTTTCTGTCCACCACCACAAGTGTCTCCACATTGAGTCCCTGGCTGGCCTTGTTCTTCATCAGCACTGCCCTTTTATTCCTGGGGATAAACTTGTATTCATCTGGAAGGATAAAAATATCCTCTTCTGGAGGTTTTGGCATGTCTGTGAAAACAGATGGAAAAAGATATAGAGTATGAATTCATTAAATAATAAACTGGTCTGTAGCAAAATGATGTAGTAACAGCTGAACAACCTGAACGGAGCATTAATCGGTGATCTATGGCTGCACAGTTAACATGATGAACTACTGTATGGAAGCTTCCGAGTGACTGATGAAAGCCCAAACAATAGCGCATATAATAGCGCCTTAATTGCAGCCATAATGTCCATGACAAATGCAAGCCTTCCTTTCCATTGCTGATTACATTTGCACGTGATTTGAAATACATTTGTAGCCACTAGCCAAATGTTTACCTTTGCTTATGTGTGCTAACCAGCGATTCTGGCAAATAGCTGGCAACAGCTCTGGATGATTAACCGTGCTCTTACTTTTGTGACCTGATGTCATGGATAAACTGCTGACTGTGCTTTTTTTTTTTTTTACTGTTGTTGACTCTGGCAGTCTCAGTGTTATGCTACCATTAAGTGTGAAATCCTAGTATGTGTTCTGCCTTGCAGTAGCTACAGTTACATAAAGTAACAATATTTAAAACAATCGACTATATGAAATATTTACATGTTGAAAGCACACACATTCATCTGAAATGTATGTGCTTCCAGAGCTGTTTCATATTCTACAGACATGTAACACAAATATAGTGTATTTTTGTCCCAAAATGATGTTAGTGTTTTTTTTTGTTTATTTGTTTATTTAGTACTAAGGAAAGGCTGTATTATAAAAAAGATTTTGTAGCTTTCGATGAATTGAAGCTTGCGAATCTGGGAGCGAAAGCACCTTCTAACATTCAGATTTGAACTATGACATAAAGTAGAACACCTGTTAGTGCAAAAGCACAGCATGCAACCATAGTATCTTGTAACGTTATCTTCTTAAGTCTTCTTTTCAGTGTTTTGATAGGTTATCAAAATTTTGACCTACTCATCGCTGGCTTAGATAATCTATAAAGGCTAGAAAGTTTGCTTATACAGGCGGAAAGCAGGTGAATGACCAAAGTGCCCTTTGACGAACACACAACGCAGGTGTTCGGTGATATCATCTTATAAAAATGCAAACATCATTGTGTTTTCATAGGGACATACAGCTGCTCTCGTTTGAAAGACCCCCGTGATGCAAGCAATGTTAACGGATCTTGTGGTAATTTCTTGAGAGCAAACATTTGTCATAGTGCAAAGTAAACAGAAGTTATAAGAATTAACCTTTACTCATAAAATCAACCACAAATGTCTAAATAAATACATGAAAATGATGATTGTTCGAGGAATCAGCTAATCATGAATGAGTGTTATTGTGTTTAAAGATTTTCAGTCTAAGACAATCTGCTTTACAACATTTACAATCCCCATGTTGTGTAAGTGACAACACACTGCTGATTGTCTCCTTTACATAAAAAGGGGCTAATGTCTTAACAATATGTGAAACCCAAGTCAACACAGAATGTGTTGCCCTTAATCTTGTGTTACAACTTAAAATGAGACACAGCTGCTGCTGCTGTCCAAATTTCACAAGTATTTGTGAATGTTTGCTGCACAAATATGATGATATTACCATCATTAAATAGCAATTTGATGCTTCCACCAGCCACCCTGCTATAAACAGAGTAAACCACAAATGTAAACACATGTAATATTATCGAAGGGTAAGAAGGTTATTTAGTAAGAGTCAAGTGTTCTTATGTGAAAAACTGAAAAGGGCAAAAATGACTTCATGGCTTTTTTTAATAATTAAATTTAAAGTAAAAAGTGATCCAATATCAAATCCACCCTAAATCGGAGAATATGTGAGTAAGGCTGACCTCAAAATAAAATATCATTGTTTGGTTCTTAAAGACTTAGGATGTCACCAATCCAGAAAAGTTTTGTATAGTATTTTTTTCCCATTTTACTCATCTTAATGTTCTTTGCATTCTTCGTTATTTAATACTGCTTTTAAAGTAATTACCAATCTTGGTAATTGCTTTAAAAGCAGAATCTTGAATTACCAATTCAAATTCTTGATATTTCCAGTCCAAATTCTTCTTCTTGCCAAAAAAACTAAGACAAAGCAACAACAGAGAGTTAAAAATAACCCGAACTAAACAAAAAACCCCTTCAATAGTTTGTTTGGTACAGCTGTTACTCTATCTCTTACAATCTAGCAGCGCCCAGCCATCCACGAAGAAGAGGATTTATGAGGCTGACTTTAGTTGGCAATAAGAGCCACCTCGTTGTTAAAAACTTTACCTAGCCTGCCAGATTAAGCACTTAAAATGAAATAAAAATGAAAGTTTAGTGGTGCTGTTACTTTCTGTTTGACCGCCAAATACCAGTAAGATTTGGCTAGTTGACACATAATGATCTATGACCCCTATAGTCAAGAGACATTGTTAGGTTAGCAGTGCTTGCAATTTCTTTTACAAGTTTCAGGGTTAAGGTGAAATTGATTTTAATAAACACTATGTAAACCGAATTATCAGAGGTTTAAAAGTATTATAACAAGCAAATAGGAAGTTGCAGGACTCAATAATGCATGTAAATCTTAAGAGGAATACTACAATGTTACATTAGCATTAGAAGGAGAAATTGCCCTTACATACATTTCTTCCTTCTCCCACAGAAGTGTTGCTTCTGCTTCTCCCCATGTCTGTAGTCGCTGTCATGGCGATGGTCATTGTGCTGTTGGCCACTTCCATGATGTTTTATCAGGTCAGCTTGAGTGTTGTTGTTATTGTTGTCATGCTGTTTTTGCAGTCCCTTGTATTGACGTTCAAACACTGTGTTGTCAGCGGATCTCTTTTGAAGCACATGTTGCCGCTGTGTTTGGGAGTCCCTTTCTCTCTTATAGAGGATGTGTGGCTGATGACCGAAGGGCGCTGTGAAGTTCTCCATCTGCGCCAAGCCGTGTGACACGGGTCTCAAGAAATATTCTGCATCCTGTGTTTGGATCAAACCTGACTAGAGGCAAAACAGAGAGTTTGATTAGCTTTACAGCACAACCTGTTGCCTAGGCTGCACTAATCTACTGTTGCACCCATGTTAAGTTGTCTACATTCAAGCCACATGGAAAACCCTCAAAAAAAATCATTCTCAGGCCAAACAATCTTGAAAAAAAGAGGGTCTCTTCCCAACTTTTTTGTGAAAAAATATTTAAAAGTGACCCAATAATGAAATATTGTTTGCTAAAACCTCAAAAGTTCACACATTCTTTTCCACTGAAAAAGGCCCAAAGGGCTGCAGTCATATATTTTAATAATAACGTTACGATAATTACTTTCGCCAGCTTTTCATTTAGCTGCCCAGTCTGCCTCTATTAGCAATTAGTCAAGGTTTGACCCTTAGTCGCTCTGAACCCGCCTCCCTTAAACCTCTTTAGGTCAATCACTGGCCACGTTTCATCATGTTTAACATCTGTTTTACTGTTCAGGGTCAACCGTTATCTCACCTAAATCTAAACCAAACTTGGTCAGACAGAATGATTTTAAACCCAATGGGCTGGTGGCATCTGCTATAAACAGCATGTATGTAAGAAAAGCTCTTAAGAGCCCATTTCCAGCTCTTTTTATCCTGTGACATCTTTAATACAACATGTAATACGAGAATGGGCGACATGAACATCCTCAGCAGCAACAATTTCCTTTTACTAAATATGAAGATCAATATGTTCTTTTTTGGTGCCACAGCATAACTTAGACATTAAGTTACAGGTTGCTTTTGTAAAAGGCCAATTAATATGGCCACTTGAAAAAGAAAGTTTTGAAAGAAAGTGTGGGTACAAAGTAAGTACAGTACCAGCTGTTAGGGGCTACTAATTAAATTAATTAATCTGAATTGCTGGCACTTTCCTGACCTGGAGGTCAGGTCAAAATGGGTGATGCAACAGGGTAAAGATCCCAAGCATAGCAGGAAATCTGCAACAGAGTGGTTAAAAAAAAGAAAAGAATCAAGGTGTTGCAGTGGTACAGTTAAAGTCCAGACCCCAACAAGGTTTAAATCCTTTCTTAAAGGTCCAGGATCTTAAGAAAGATGTGCATAAATGAATGCCCATAAAGTTGTAAAGAAGAGGGCCAAATTTCCTCCACAAGCATCTTAAAGAATTACTTCAGGTTACCGCTGCCAAAGGTCATTATGCAAGCTACTTAATAATGGGGTGTACTTAGTTCTTCAAGAATTGCATAGAATCTTGTGAAATGCTTATTTTTCACATGACTGTCAATATATCTGCACATATTTTATGGACACAGCAATTTTCATTTATAAATGTTCTAACTGGGTCAGTCTGAATTGTAGCAGTGGCATGTTGTTATTAATCTCAGTGGATAAATTGAGTCAAAAGCCTTTTTGAATCTCTACGTTTTACAGTGACAATTATTCACAATATTTTTTTAAGCTGACCTTATTCTCGCTTTATGTTTCCCTCTATCCCTGTCTGTGTCAAAGAGACATTTCAGCGTTCATATTCAGCTTTTCAGTAAACTTCTATCAACACAACAGATTCAGACAGTTGGAGATGGTTTCTCTTGCTCTCTTCCTCTCTTTTTCGCTCTCAGTCTCTCTAAACATGCACCACATTTGTGATGACAGTCAGTTGGCACGTAGTGTTTGTACTTTAACTGCACTTGGCAGTTACAACGATTTCCCTAAAATATGTTTAAATGACTACAGTCGCCACTGCTTTTTTTTCCTTTTTGTTTCACTGTGAGTGGAGTATGAGGCCCTTCATCCCTACAGTCAGATTCTGGCTAACAGAGACACAGTGACACAGTTGCAGTGGTGAGGTAGTGAGTGTGTATTAATGTGTCTTTGTGTGTGTATGTGCATATGTCAGTCCTTACACAGTACAAAGTGGAAGTTTGTGTGTGAGACAAAACAGTGGGAGAGACAGCTGGAAAATTAGGGCTCATAAATGTGGAACTCGAAAGTCTGCATGTGTGGATGTCTGCAGATGTTTCCATATCTCTAAGTAGGGGAATCTCTGGTAGCAATAAGTTAGACTCGCAGGAGCAAATTTCAAACAGTGATGTCTTTCATGCTGACAAGGTCTTCAGAACCAATTTTTTCATCATCACTCATCAACCTGGGCCGTTTACCCTTCATACAGGTCAGAGAACTAGCGAAGCAGAGTCTATGGAAAGTACCGCATTGAGCTTTGCATGTGAAAACTATGAGGTCGATACAGATGTGTCAGCTATGACCACAATGACCAAGCAGTTTACAGCTTTCATCACATACTGTAGTAAAAAAAGTTATTGTCAGCATTTATGAAGTAATTAGCATGATTGGTTCTACAGCTGTCAGAATGGCTTATTCCTTGCAATATTATCACATTATGAATATTACACAGGTAAATGAAAGAATTATATATCCAACTGACCACATGATTCCTAGAGTGTGACATTAATGGTAAAATGGGGTAGAGGGGCAGGCTGCTGGGGTACTTTTCAAATCCTACTGTCAAGTTGTATGCTCAAGCCAGAGGAGAGCAGTTGTTATTTACAGATGTCCCATTTTAGATAATGATCATTTCCCACTATACAGTAACTGGTGTTTCACAGATGAAAGCTACCCACAAACAGCAACACTATATGGACAAAATTGTAGGCCTAGACTGCTTAGTCTTTGAATTCAGCTGTTTTCAGTCCCATTGCCACAAGTGTAAAAATCAAGCACTTAACCATGCAATCTGCTTTTGCAAAAAAATTGTGGCTCGTTTTAAAGAGCTCACTGAATTCGAGCATGGTACTATAATAGGAAGCCACCATTGCAAAAAGTCAGTCTGTAAAACGTCTTCCTTTCTAGATATTCCACAATCAACTTTAAGTGGTATTTTTGCAAAGTGGAAGCGTTTAGGAACCACAGCAACAGCCGCAAAGAGCCAGACCACGTAAAGTTGTCGAATGCTGAAGCAGAAAATGCGTAACAGTCGCCAACGCTCTGGTGACTCAGTAACTGCAAAGTTGCAAACCTTCTCTGGCATTAACATCAGCAAAACATTCCATGCCAGAAAGATGAGGGTGCGTGATCAGTTATTGAGGGAAAGAAAGAAGTGAGAAAGAGGCTTACTAAAACGTTACCACCTTCCACCATTGCTGGCCCGCCAACGGTCAAGAAATACCCCAGCCAGGATTGTTGCTTATATCACATGTGACAACCGGTGCGTGATTCCACATGGCACCCGCCCCGGCGCTGTGTAATCACAGACAATTGTCAACAATTGGTTCCAAGTCACGATGAGGCCTCTGACCTGAACTGTGCTGCCGCCAACCATCAGAACTTCACATGCTAAGTATTTATTTTTTCTGTGTGGGTGGTTCAGGGATTGAACACTGGGGCATTAGTGTGGTGATATGGTAAAGCAGCTCTACAGGGGAAAGACTGCCACGAACATTTAAAAAAAATCCCTTTTCATCATTTTTTTGTTGTTGTTGTTGTATGTGGTTATTTTTAGTCAATCCATTGCAATGAACAAGACAGTCAAGAAAGGAAACCCATTGAGTGAGAGAACATCAACCATAGGATTTAAACCTGCGGCATGTGTACTGACTGTTTAGCTTGCGGTTGTTATAGAAACAGACATCTTTTGATAGCTAATAGCAGTAGTTTAGACAGCGCAGGGAAATCTGGCAGACATTCAGTCTCAAAAAGAACTGTATCTACAGAGAAGATAGCTGCACTATTTAAATTTGACTTATTTGCAGCTGTATGCTGCCAACTTTATAAGTCATGTGGTTAGAAAAAAACCTTTAATTTCCACTTTTGTTTACATTTCCATATGATACTTCGCTGTAACAGCATTTACAATACAATACATGGAACAAACAGTTCAAGAGCAAGTGGTTCGCCATTTCAACAGAAGCCAAAGGCTTTCCACTGGAGACATGTCAGCAAGCATGAACAACAAGATAGCTATGGCCACATTTCAAAGTGACAGTGTTCACTTTTTTACTCTTTTACTAATGCATCTTACAGTTTGTGTATACTGGCTGGTTTGTCTTTTCAGCATTGCTGTAACACAGCGGTTCCCAGATATCTGTCTACACATATACAAAGTGATTTTTGGAGCTGACCATGGTAGCTTGCTGCCATGTCATGGCATTTCAATATTTTGTCTATGCAACTTCACTTTTTTTCCCCGGGTAAAATCATCAGTGTCGCTTTAATATTTTAAATGAGCGCATGAAAAGCTCTTTCAAAAGCATCGCAAAGCCAAGTTAGGGATGAGCAGCTAATATGCTTGTGTCTGGAGCGCCATCATAAAAAGGACCATGAGTCACTCCTCCACATATTATCCTGTTTCCTCTCATCTGCATTTTGTCACATAGACTGAAAGGACTGTTTCTCTGGAAGGATAGATCAATGCATCTCATTGTTTTACAAATGCTGTCAATGTAATTTGTCCTGTGCTTCAGATATCCAATCCAGATGTTGATGCCACAGTATTTAACTGTTGGGTGTGAGCTCTTCTAAAATATGCTGATTTCATTTTAAGTGTTATATTACTGAATACATCAAGTTTCAGTGACAGAAAACTAGACACGCAGAGGCGTTGTACTGTGTGTGCAATGAATTTAAACAAAGCTAAAGGATGTCGTTACTCAGCTAACAGCCAACAGACAAAAACAGATTATCTTTTTTATGTAGTTTTTGAGTTGAGCACAAACAACATACATGCACTTTCTTTAATTTCATACGTACGTGAGCGTGTGTGTGCAGGCTGCTATGTTAAGAGATTAGGTCACGCTGGTCCCTTTCCTAAATAGCCAAAGTCATCGGATTACACAGTACGCAGTATGAAGTGCAAATAGCAGTCATAAAATGCTGAAATACTACTTGGGAGGGCGCAGACAGCTGGACTCTGTGTCAGACTCATCCAGACAAGCAGCAACAAGAACAGGGGGGGGGAGTAGGCGGGCAAGAAACAGAAGGAAAACGGAAATGAGGCGGGGAAGCGCTCAGTG